CCACGGGGTCCCGGACCGGAACCGCGGTCGACTACATGCGAGTCCAGTGACATAGCCGTTATGCCAGCTGCTGGTCCCCATGATTGTGTTTTTCTATGCAAAACGTGCCATGACTTTTCTGATAACCCAATACAAGGGATTTTGAAAAGTTCATGGGAAAGGGAACCAGCAGTTAGCGTAATGGCTGTGTCGCTGGACTCCCACGTAGTCGACTGCGGTTCGTGTCCCGGACCCGGTGGCTTAAAACTCACGGGCGCGTGTGCGTGCGTGCCCAAGATCCTGAGAGGAGGATGGAGGAGAAGGGATTGCGGCGTGACCATCCCCCCTGGGGGGTGATTTCTCGCTTTCTGTCTCTCTGTCTCTCTCTGTCTGTCTGGCGAGCGCACGCGCCCTATAGTGAAAACCTCTCCAAAAAAAAAGTTCATGGGAAATACAGAGTGAAGGGCCAACAGGTGGCGTAATGGTTACGTTGTTGGACTCCCACGTAGGTGACCATGGTTCAAGTCCCAGACCCAGCCAGGCACGTGTGCGTGTGTGCCCAAGGTCCTGAGAGGAGAATGGAGGAGAAGGGATTGCGGCGTGGCCGTCCCCCAGGAGGTGACTCCTCGCTGTTTGTCTCCCTGTCTCTGTCTGTCTTTCCAGTGAGCGAATGGGCCCTAGAGCCAAAGTCTCTCCTAGGGAAAAATGGAGCAAGAGTAAGTCTGCCTTGGTGTGGGCGGCTGGCGCCCGCTCTCCTGGGACCTGCGTGTCTGTGAGCTGTGCCCTCATCCTGGAGCCGCGTGGCTGGGTTGCAGGGGTGGGAGGCCCTCTCTGCCTGGCCTGCATGCCCCTGAGACCCTGGGCAGGGCCCCAGGAAGGACCCTGCGGCTTCGGCTCTGGTTGTCCCTGGCCACAGCCAGCTCTGGACCCTCCGGGCCACCAGCCAGGACCCAGCCCAGCCGTCTTGGACACGCGCATGGACTGTGGGTGTGGTGGGGGCTCTGTCCAGCTCACCTTGCTGCTGGGAGAGGCCAGAGGACGCCAGCTCTCTTCTTCCCATGTTCTTGGTACATGGGAAATGGCCACCCCAACGGCGCCCCGCGGCAGTGTCATGAGTTAGCCTGGGCAGGGCCTGCACCTGGTCTCCCAGTGGGCCGGTCACACTGCGCCTCCTGGCCTGGCGGCTGTTCACTTGTTTTGTTTTGAATCTGCCAGGGGGTGCATGTGCGTGCCAGAGGGCAGCGAAGCACCCCAGGGGATGGCCACAGCAGCCCCTTCTCCAGTCTCCTCCCGGGGGTTTGGGAACACATCCACACACACCCAGCGCGTTTTCCAGGCCACCAGGTCCGGGACTCGCACCACACAGTTGGCCACGTGGGCTCCAGCCACCTCACACCCCACCCCGCCACCGGCCCACAGAGCAGTTTATTTTTACGGATTGATTGGCAGAGGGTGTGAGAGACGGAGAGGGAGAGCCCCAGTCCCGTGGGCCGTGGCACGCCACCCCGCTGCCCTTCGTCCTGCCGGAGTTGGGCATACCAGCACACACGCCTGCCGTGGGCATCGAGGCACCAGGACCGGAATTTGAAGTGCGGCCGGCCATGCGAGCCCTGGCCTCCGTAACCGCTGGCTTCCGGGCTGTCCCCGTCTCTTACATTCTGAGTTTACCCCACAAAGGAGAGCTGGAGAGGGGAGCGACGGCGCCAGGGGCATGGCGCCCTGCCGTGGTGAGGGCGGGCCGCCCGCCTGTGCAGTGCCCGCTCCGCGGGTCGGCCGCAGGCTCCGGCTGCCCTGGCAGCACAGTTGGCGCCTCAGCAGGGCACGCGGTGGGGAGATGGGGAGAGGGACCTGTCGGGCAAGGCCAGACACTGCTGGCAAAGCGCTTGGCCGGCCGCCAGGACGCGGGCTCTTGTCACGCAGAGGGTCGGACACCGCGTGCACTGGCGAGTGGGCATCTGGGGACACAGTCTGGTTGTCGCAGCCCCGTCGCCAGTCTTCCGGGAGAGGTGGAGGCAGGGGTCACTTCCAGGGAAAAGCGCGCCAGTGACCCCACGCAAACAGGTCCTCCGGGGCCCCGCCGGCCGCTGGCGGGAAGGCCGTCCTGCTGTGGACAGAGCGCGGAGGGGCTGGGTGGCCCGACTGGTCGTGGTGGGTGTCCACGTGCCGCTTTACTCTGAGGAGAGGGCGGCGTGACACAGTGCCCCGTTACCAGCTCTGGGGGTTTGCCCTGTGACCCCGCGGGCTTCTGTGAGGCTGCAGTCTCGGCTCCTGTGTTGCCACAGCGCGATCGTGACTCGGGCCGGCGGCAGCATGGCAGTGTGTCGGCCCACGCGTGCCCGCGCTTTGGGCTGGGCTGGGTCGCAGCGCCAGGGCCCAGGGTGGGTGCTCGCTCTCCACATGTGCCCTCCCTCTTGGAATTAATAAGTAAACTTCAATTATCACACCGTTTATGAAGTTTTAGGGACATTTTGGCGCAAGATAGAAACCTGGGGCCCATGTCCTCGTGCAGCAAAGGGCTTCACAGCACGGCCTGCTGCCCCGCGTGCCCGAGCCCAGCACCCCGCGGACGCAGTTCCCACAGAGTGCTGGGTGCCTGCAGGTGCTGGAGCAGCCGATCCCTGGGCCCCCGGGTGCCCGGAGTGTCATGAAAGCCCAGCCCTGGGTCCCTCACCCTGAGAGGCCCCTGTGCCCCGGCCCGGCCGTCTTCCTCACCTGCTAACTGCTGGCTTTCTCATCCACAGGGGCGTCGCCGGGCATGTGTGCGGCCGTGGCTGACGAGTCGGGCCCCGAGGGCCTCAGCTCCACCTCCCTGCTGGACCTCCTGCTGCCCACGGGCCTGGAGCCAACGGACACTGAGGAGCCCAGTGAGGCCCTGGCTGCGGGCTCGGGCTTCCCCGGCGACGAGAGCGAGGAGTCGCGGCTCCTGCAGCCGCCCCAGTACTTCTGGGAGGAGGTCGAGCTGAATGACTCCAGCGTGGACCTGGGCCCCACCGCAGGTACCCGCATCCCTGGCGGCCAGGTGGCCAGAGGTGCCAAGGGCCCTTCTCAGCCCAGCCCTGTCTTCCCCTGGTGCGCACTGCTGCGGCCAGTCGGGCCTTCAGAGTTGGCATGGGGTCCCTGTGTGCAGCCTGCCCTCTGTCAGGGTGCACTCCCGGCAGGTAGGTGGTGACAGACTCAGTGCCAGGCCAGCAGGCCACAGCAGCCAAGCAGATGGCTTCAGCTTGGTCCCAATCGCATGGTGCTCCTCCAGGCCTGGCCCTCTGTCTGTCCCCACCCCCACGTTCTCAGAGGGTCTACGAGGCTGACGGGAACCTGCAATGTGCAGGGCCTCACCGTCTAGCATGGGCGTGCAGGGCCGTCTAGGAGGAGTGTGCGGGGCCTCGCCATCCAGGAGGGGCACGCGGGGCCTCGCCGTCCAGGAGGAGTGTGCAGGGGCCATCAAGGAGGAGTGTGCGGGGCCTGGCCATCCAGGAGGGGCACGCGGGGCCTCGCCGTCCAGGAGGAATGTGCAGGGCCTCGCCATCCAGGAGGGGCACGCGGGGCCTCGCCGTCCAGGAGGAGTGTGCAGGGCCTTGCCATCCAGGAGGGGCAGGCGGGGCTGTCTAGGAGGAACCGAGGTTGGTGGTCTTTGCCAGTCCCCATGGATACGAAGGGGTGACCACACACATCTCAGTTTCATGGGACGGCCTTGCCCAGCCGGCAGACCCACCACAGCCTGGGTCTTGGCGGAAGGGGTGCACCTGCCTTCCCGTGGCCAGCCCCCTGCCCTGGGCCAGCTGTGCGGTCGCCAGCACACACGGGGAGTCCCTGAGACCGAGACCCTGGCCCCTCCGCCTCCGGGGCTGTGCGCGGTCGCTGGCGCGCAGAGGGAGTCCCTGAGACTGCACACTCCTGGCCCCTCCGTCTCCCTGGGCCGCCTTTCTCGAAGCAAACTGCAGGTCCGCACTGTTCCTGGGTTCTCACGTTTATTCATGAGTGGAGCAGCCAGGGACCCTTGGCGCAGCCGTCCCAGCCTCCCTAGCACAGTCTGAGCTCCCTCGGGGACCCTGCCACGGTGTGGCAACTGCTGCCCCAGGGTTCCGATGCTTGCTGCGAAGCCCTCATCCCCAGGATGGCGCCACGGGGGCAGCAGTGGCACGCCATTCAGGAGGCCAGCCCACACGGCGCCCATGCGTCGGACCCTAGCGTGGTCAGTGCAGCGCACAGCAGGGGTGACGAGGGGAGGCTGGTGTGAGGAGCATCAGCCGCTCAGCCCGCAGAAGACCCTCCAAGCTGCGGCGTGTCCGCAGGGAGGAGCTCGGCAGGCGGCCCTCGTGGCCAGGTGGGAGACAGGCAGGAGCTGCGGGTTCAGGTGGGGACACCCAGCACAGCCGTCCTCAGCGGCCGATCGGGCTGGAGGTGGGTGCCAGCCCTCGGACCCATGGGCGCACGCTGGGCCGGGCCTGGCCCTCAGGCCAAGCTCTGCTACCTTCTCGTGCTGGGGCTTTGGCTGCGGGGCCCTGGCAGTGACCCCCGGCAGGAGTCCTGCCCCATCAGCTTGTGCGGCTGCCCAGAGCCAGGAGGCAGCTGACTCTGGAGGTGCTGGGGACAGTGCACCCGCTCCTCAGCACGTCTCATCCCTGTGATGGCCAGGAGGGTCCGCCTGCGCTGCAGGACGACCAGACGCA